CACGCTACCTAGAGCTCCAGGGTCAGTAGACTAGGTTCGACCCACTGAATGTTTGCACTGCCTAATGTGGCTCTCTCTCTTTAAAATTTCTAATCCATTGTTGGTGGGATTGCAGACTGCTACAACCACCATGGAAAACAGTATGGAACTTTCTCAGAAAAGTAAAAATGGATCTGCCTTTTGACCCAGCAACTCCACTGCTAGGATTATATCCTAAGAACCCTGAAAGACCAACCCAAAAGTACCTATGCACCCCAATGTTCATAGCAGCACAATTTACAATAGTCAAGAGCTGGAAGCAACCTAGATGCCCGTCAGTAAATGAATGGATCCAAAAATTATGGTACATATACACAATGAAATTCTATGCAGCAGAAAGAAGGAGCTCCTACCCTTTGCAACAGCATGGATGGAACTGGAAAGCATTATGCTGAGTGAAATAAGCCAGGCAGTGAAAGACAAATACCATTTAACAGGAAGCTAAAAAATAAAACAAACAAGCAAGCAAAATATAACCAAAGACACTGAAGTAGAGAAAAGGCTGACAGGGACCAGAAGGGAGAGGGGAGGGAATTTCAGGGGAAATAGGGGAGGATTTACAGGAACAAGTATAAAGGACATATGGACAAAAACTAAGGGGGGTGGAAATGGGAGGGAAATGGGGAGCACTGGGGGGCGTGGGCTAGGATGGGAGTAAAAGACAGAAAACTATACTTGAACAATAATTAAATAAAAAATTATATTTATAAATCTGTATCAGTCAAAGTAATACTAAAAGGCAACTCCAGCCATGACTAGTGTGGCTCAGTGTATTGAGCATAGGTTCTATATCTAGTCAAGGCACATGCCTAGGCTGTGGGCCAGGTCCCCAGTGGGGTGCTGTGTGAGAGGCAACCACACATTGATGTTTCTCCCCTCTTTCTCTAAAAGTAAATAAATAAAATTCTTAAAAAGAAAGGACAACTCCAAATCCTCAGTGACTTAACACAACAGAAGTGTATTTCTTGATCATGTGAAGTCTAACATTGAAAGGGGCTGTAAGCAGTGCTCCACTTGACCTTTGCTCCTTTCGGATTGTGAAATGGCCCCATCTGTGTTTTTGGAGTTTTCTATGGTCAGCAAAATATGGGCGGGAGAAAAGAGAAGGGAGGATCATGAAGGAAATTGTCATGGGCCAACCCGAAAATACATTACCTACTCCCAGTTTCAGTGGTCAAGGATCATCTAAATGAAAAGTAACTGGGTGATTTGGTCTAGATGTATCTGCAAAGAACATGGAAACTTGATTTTTGAACAACTAGCCATTTTTTGAAACCACAGTGTATGTAGGGCATGCATTTCCTTTTCTTCTTCTCCTTCTAGTCCTAATCCGAAGATATGTTCATCAATTTTAGGAAGAGAGAGAGAAAGAAACAGAGAAACATCGATGTGAAAGAGAAACATCAATCAGTTGTCTCCCATAGGCATCCCAATTGGGGACTGAACCCACAATTTAGGGATGTGCCCTTACCAGGAATCGAACCTGCAGCCTGTTGGCATATGGGACAACAGCCCAAGTGACATGCATGTACTGCTTAATTATTTGAATTCAGTCTGACAAGAAGACACGATGTAATAAGTCATAACTATATGGCACTCAGCTTAATAATAATTTTTCTAAGTCTGTAGAATCAAAGTATAGTCATTATCAGAGTAAAGAAAAACTATTGTGATAAAAATTTCAATTCTAAATTCTAAACAGCTAATAGAGTAAAAAAATCATCAGATTATTACCTTGTTACAAATTTCACTCTGAAATAAATTAATATTTATTTTAGCAACTGAATACATACTAATATATAATAGCAAAGAAGTATGAAGGTATCTACTTCTGTACTGTTGGCTTGACTCAGGCCCTTCTTTAAGAAACATCTAGTACTGTTGGCTAATTTTGTCAAGCAAAGAAACCTCAGCATCAGTGGCACTAACCTTTCCAAATGTCAAATAGAAAGCGTACCATCCAATAAGTCAATTTATTCTACAAGTCACAGTGTGGTTATCTGGTTCCAATTTACCCTGAAAGCTCTTTAACATCATTTGTATTAAAAGTCAGATGGTCTATAGGGTCTTAGAGACTTCCTTTTATGGCTGACATGTACATTGATAAAATTAAATCTCAACATTTCACAAAGCCCAATGCATAAATTCTACAATGTGGAATTCAGAAAACTGACTTTATATTCTCATTCATGTACAAGTATTTGAAAAATAATCCTGTTTCTGAAATTAAAAAATTGGCTCATCTTTGCTGGTATCGATGTTCCCTTTTGGACACAGTTTGGATGATATTTAGTATGAAGGAAAATAGGTAAAACTTCATATTTTCACAACAAAATTGTCAGACTTCCAATACGTCAGACATAAAAAATTTAGATTTTTTAATATTCAGTAGTAAAAATTATGTCCTGCTTTTCCTTATTAAGTAGGAAGTGGTACTGATCTATTTTTCTCATTATACAATTGTGAGAGGAGAGAAACATACAAAAAGTCTTCAAATATTGGACAACAAGCAATGCACAACTGTGATCTGTGAAAGGAAGGAAATGCATCAGAGGCGCTCTACAAATGCCAACTTTCTTCTGAAAGGGGGAGAGGGGAGGGAATTTAAGGGGAAAAATGGGAGGGATTTAGAGGAACAAGTATAAAGGACACAGGGACAATAACTAAGGGGGGTGGAAATGGGAGGGAGGTGGGGAGCACGGGGTGGGGTGGGCTGGGATGGGAGAAATAGAAAACTTTACCTGAAAAATCACTAAATAATTTTTTTTTAAAAAGAAGAAAAAAGAAATTTCTTTTTTTTTTTATTTTTTATTTTTAAAATATATTTTATTGATTATGCTATTACAGTTGTCCCATTTCCCCCCTTCATTTTCCTCCACCTTGCATACCCCCTACCACCCACATTCCCCCTTTAGTTCATGTCCCTGTGTTCTTTAGCTTCTACATTTCCCATATTATTCTTGCCCTCCCCATCTATTTTCTACCTACTGTCTATGCTACTTATTCTCTGTATCTTTTCCCCCTCTCTCATCCTCCTACTCTCCTGTTTGCTAACCCTCTATGTGATCTTCTTTTCTGTGGTTCTGTTACTGTTCTAGTTGTTTGCTTATTTTGCTTCTTTATTTTAGGCATGGTTGTTAATTGTGAGTTTGCTGTCATTTTACTGTACATGTTTTTCATCTTCTTTTTCCTAGAGAAGTCCCTTTAACATTTCACATAATAAGGGCTTGGTGATGATGAACTCCTTTAACTTGACCTTATCTGAGAAGCACTTATCTGCCCTTCCATTCTAAATGAAAGCTTTGCTAGATAGAGCAATCTTGGATGTAAGTACTTGCCTTTCATGACTTAGAATACTTCTTTCCAGCCCCTTCTTGCCTGTAAGGTCTCTTTTGAGAAATCACCTGACAGTCTGATGGGAACTCCTTTATAGGTGACTGTCCCCTTTTCTCTTGCTGCTTCTAGAATTCTCTCCTTCATATTAATCTTGGCTAAAGTCATTATGATGTGCCTTTGTATGTTCTTCCTTGGGTCTAACTTCTTTGGGACTCTCTGAGCTTCCTGGAAGTCTATTGCCTTTGCCAGATTGGGGAAATTCTCCTTTATTACTTGTTCAAATAAGTTTTCCAATTGTTGCTGTTCCTGTTCCCCTTCTGGCACCCCTATAATTCAGATGTTGGAACGTTTAAAGATGTCCTGGAGGTTCCTAAGCCTCCCCTCATTTTTTTGAAGTCTTGTTTCTTCTTTTTTCTATTTGGTTGGTTGTTTCTTCCTTCTGGTCCTCTCCATTGATTTGAGTCTGCTTTTTTTTTTCCTATCAGTATTGCTTCCCTGTGCATTTTCCTTCATTTCACTTAGTGTAGCCTTCATTTTTTCATCTAATTTGCGACTAAAATCAACCAATTCTGTGAGCATTCTGACCACCAGTCGTTTGAACTGTGCATCTGATAGACTGGCTATCTCTTGGTCACTTAAAAGTATTGGCTCTCAGGCTTTGATCTGTTCTTCCATTTGAGCCATTTTTTTTGGGGGGTGGCACCTGTTACATAGTGAGGGGCAGAGTCTTATGTGTTCACCAGGGTGGGACAACCCAGTAGCTAGGTTGTGAAGGTGTATGTTGGGGCAGGGTCAGAGAGGGAACCATGGCGCTTTCTCTACTTTCTCGTATTTAAGTCCCTTCTGCTGTTTTCCCCAGCCAAATCGGGCCCTTCTGGTGCTAGTTCCCGGGTTTGTGGGCTTGTGTATGTTTTAGGACCTGGTGGGTCTCTTCAACAAACTCTCCTGTGTGGCTGGGAGTCTCTCCTGGCACCTTAAGTGTTTTCAATTGGTGTTTTCAATCGGTGCTTTTAGGCTTTATTTCCCGGTGCTTGGGCCCTAAGTTGTGCGGTCTCTCTTGCTTCCTGTTTTTGCCTGGTTCATTGGTCTGGCTGAGTGGTGGTTGGACACCCATAAAACTCAATTTTCTGTCAGTTCTGGTTGTTTTTTTGTTGTTGTTTCTAATTTTTTTGTTCTTAATTTTGGTTGTGTGAGGAGGCACAGTGTGTCTATCTATACCTCCATCTTGACTGGAAGTCCTAATACATTTTCAATACAATGCAAACACTTATAAAAGATATAATTATTTAATCTTCACAATGCTACTAAGAATTATGGTGTTATTATCAATGTATAAATGAGAAAATTTAGATATATTTAAATAATTTGCCTTATAAGGAGTTATGATGGTGAAGACAATAAAGACTAACTATTGGTTCAACCTTTCCCCACTCTTACTCAGTTTAATTTTAGACAATGAGTTTGCAAATACTAACATGATTTAGAAAGGACAGTAATCTGGTATAATTTTAATATTAACATAACCTTCAAGTATGAATTGTCAGATGAATAACTTGATAGGTAAAGAAATTGGTGTCCCATATACTATTTATGTTATAAAACTTCTAATCTCTCTTGAAGGCTAATGATCCTGATGTTGAGAAAGGTTTGAACTATTAATGCCTCTTAACACATTTGCTGCTATCCTAAACTTTCCCATTTTTCTTACATTCAGTTTTTTTTACCAATTGCACTATGATAGGAAAGGAATTCTGAAACACAAATAAACCCTCCCAATTCCTAACATTCTGGCCCTTAAACACTTTACATTCACAGTACAAACTCTTGATATTAAGTTATTCTTATGTACTTTCCCATATTCCTTATAATCATAGAGATTTGTTTCTGTTTTACTAGTATGAATTTCAGATGTCAATTAAATTCTGAATGTTCCCATATCTTCATTCATTCCTCTGTCCTGCATGAATTTTTTGATGTTGACTAAGGTGTGAGCCACGAATAAAGGCTTTTCCACAATGCTTACATTCATAAGGTTTCTCACCAGTGTGAATTTTCTGGTGTCGACTAAGTTCTGAGCCACGACCAAAGGCCTTTCCACATTCCTTACACTCATACGGTTTTTCACCATTATGAGTTCTCTCATGATGAGTAAGTTCTAACCTTCGAATAAAAGATTTTTCACATTCCTTACATTTGTGGGGTCTCTCACCAGTGTGAATTTTTTGATGTCGAATAAGTTCTGTGCTACAAGTAAAGGTCATTGCACATTCCGTACATTTATAGGGTTTCTCACCAGTGTGAGCTCTTTGATGTCGAGTAAGTTCTGAGCCACGACGAAAGGATTTCTCACATTCCTTACATTTGTATGGTTTATCACCAGTATGAACACTCTGATGTCGAATAAGATGTGAATAAGAGATAAAAGCTTTCCCACATTCCTTACATTTATGAGGTTTCTCGCCAGTATGAATTCTTTGATGTAGACTCAGTTGTGAGGCACAGCTATATACCTTTCCACATTCCTTACATTCATAGCGTCTTTCACCGGTATGAATTACTTGATGAAGACTAAGTTGTGTGTCATAACGAAAAGCTTTACCACATTCTTTACATTTATGGGGTTTCTCACCAGTGTGGATCCTCTGATGTCGAAAAAGGTGTGAGGGACGGGTGAAAGCTTTTCCACATTCCTTACATTCATAGTACCTCTCATGTGTATGAATTCTCTGATGTAAATTAAGTTGTGAAGTAGTTGGAAAGGCCTTCTTACATTCCTTACATTCATAGGGTTTCTCACCAATATGAATCCTTTGATGGTTAATAAGCTGTGAGTTAGAAGAAAAGGTTTTCCCACATTCTTTACATTTAAGAACCTTCTCCCCAGTATTAATGCTCTGAGGTTCAGTAATTTCAGAATCATGAATAAAGGCATGTTTATTACCTTCATTACTTTCCTTTCTTTCATGAATTCTCTGACACTTATTCAAGTCTGACCTACTATTCAAGGCTTTTCCACATTCTCTGCATTTAGAGTTTTTTTCCTTATTATGACTGCTTTCATGTTGAATATGGTCTGATTGGTACCTGAAAACTTCCTTACATTCCTTGTATTCACATGACTTCCTCCCAGTATGAATTATCTGAGGTACTCTATAAACTTTGCACTGAATGAAAGCAGACATTTCTTCAGAGGTTATTAGAGCCGGTTTGAAATGTCCATCTTGTTGTCTCTCCAGGTAGCATTTGATTTCACTATTATCTCTAACCCTAATGCATACAAGGTTAGACCTTATAGGTGTTTTTATCTCTGGTTGCAATGATTTAATTTCATAACAGCTCTGCTTTGGAGATAAATTCCTGGTTTCTCTTCTGGATTCCCAATCTTAATCCATAGCATGGATGAAACTGGAGAGCATTATGCCAAGTGAAATAAACCAGGTGGTGAATGACAAATAAAATATGGTCTCACCTATAAGTGGAACCTGAGCACCACTCTTTTGTCTCCTTCCTTTTAATAATCCAGGGCTCCTTCCTCCAGTGAGATCAAGTTGTTATAATTTTCCAACATTACAGCTCGGTATAAATCCTTCTGAGTAGAGTGCAAGCATTCCCACTCCTTTTGAGAGAAGAAAATGGCCACATCTTTGAACTTCAAGCCCTCCGCCATGACTTCTGGTGAACAGCAGTTCTTCTCTTCTCCAGTTCTGATTCCTGTCCCGCCCCAGGGGTCCTTAACGTCCACTTCTCCGCAGTCCTCGCACGCCAGTCTCTTCAGGTCCGCAGCAAATTAGTGAGCTAGGCCGCCGAGGACACACCGACGCTTTGTGTCCGAACTCCGTGGGAAAAAAAAAGAAATTTCTTATTCTGACAAGAAGGCGACTGTAAAGAGCTTGGAAGTCCTGATTCACTGGGGAGACAGAACGGAGTTTAGGGACACTAAGGCAGCTGGAATTTGCAGGGCAGAGTATCAGAGACAAGGACCTATACTAAGAAAACACTTAGAAATTTACAAGCAATTCTTTTTGAGTCTTCCACGAAATATTATTCATGTATATGAATAGGGTAAAACTTTACTTTAGGGAAGGCCAAGAAAATAACAACTGCCAGGGAGCTAACACAGTAGTCTGAGCTACACAGACCTAGGATCTGTTCTGATTTTCACCAGTCAAAGGAGATGTGGCAGGGCCCAGTGGGGCTGGAGCCGAGGACACAGTCGGGGCCTAGGAGCCCGGTGAGGTGTTTGGGGTCTGTAGGACCAGAGCTGAGGGCGTGTGGGTGGGAGATTGCCATCATACAAGGAAAATAAGCAGACAAAGGTATGCAGACAATAGGAACACACTTTTTCACCATTGAGGGGTTATAAATATAGAATGAGTAAGACTAAAATGAGCCCTGTAGTGTTGGATTGGAATAGAAATTATTGATCCAAACTGAAAGCTTTTATCATTACATAGATATAGACATAGATATAGATATGTATATATACACATACATAAGCATAATACACTTCCTAGCTCTGTCCACTGAGAGGGCTAAGAGGTAATGAGTACCCTTGGTACCCAGGTCTTGGTTTCTAAATCCCATTCTCTACTCATAGGAATCAGGGCTCTTTAGAGACCTGACTGAAGCTGGCAAAGTACAAGATGAGACTGGAACATCTTTTTGTTCCAGAAAGCAAGGAAGTCTCAAAAACTTAAGGGGACCTGTCAAAAGTCACACAGGAACCAGCATAAAGGGCTTCCACTAGCCAAATATGGGGCAATTTGTGCATTAAGATAAATATTGATGTAATAGATTACGACCAACAGAGTGAAATGGAAATCTATGGATCTTACTGATAATCAATCAATCAATCAATCAATAAAGCACGACTTTTTAGTAGAAAACCAATAAATGCAGAAGCCATGATAAAACTAGAAAAATCAATATTTGGCAGCTATTATAATAATCTTTTATTCAGGCAATTATCATGCGAGGATGATAAACTGAGTTTGCAGAGAAATAAAATTAACACAATTCCAAGGTAACACCCCAAAAGACATTTATTAATAACAAAGGAAAAACAACTTTACAGTGGAGAAATGCAGCAAACACCACCTTAACCAAATGACCAGATTCAAGATGGCCACTGACAGGACACATTGATATCCTGTCCCTCCTACCATGATATACTGGGAAGAATGCAATGTCACTTTAGTGATATTTCTACCCAAAATGCGTAACTTGAATTGGCATGAAGTCAGATCAGGGGCTATGTACAAAATAACCATACAGCCCACTTCAAAAAGGTCAGTTACAAAAGCCAAGAAAAAACTGAGTAGAGTTCCTGAATTATACATAAGACTAAAGAGGTATATATATATATATATATATATATATATATATATATATGTATATATATATATATATATATGTGTGTGTGTGTGTGTGTGTGTGTGTGTGATAACTAAATGAAATCTGCTATCCTGGATTGAATAATTGACTACAAAGAAAAAATTTTCTACTATAAAGATAATTATTGGGACAATAGGTGAAATTTAAAAGAGGTTCTAAGATTAGCTAGTAATATTACATCAATATAATTTTTAATATATTTTATTGATTATGCTATTACGGTTGCCCCATTTTCCCCCTTTATTGCCCTCTGCCCTGTACTCCCTTTCCACCCACATTCCCCACCTTCCTTAGCTCATGTCCATAAGTCGTACATGTAAGTTCTTTGGCTTCTCCATTTCCTATACTATTCCTAGCCTCACCCTGTCTATTTTGTACCCACCATTAATGCTACTTATTCCCTGTACCTTTTCCCTCATTCTCTCCCCTCCCCCTCCTCCTCCCTGCTGATAACCCTCCATGTGATCTCCATTTCTGTGATTCTGTTCCTGTTCTAGTTGTTTGCTTAGTCTGTTTTTGTTTTCTTTTTAGGTTCAGTTGTTGAGAGTTGTGAGATTGTTGTCATTTTACTATTTATATTTTTTATCTTCTTTTTCTTAGATAAGTCCCTTTAAATATAATAAGGGCTTGGTGATGATGAACTCCTGTAACTTGACTTTATCTGGGAAGCATTTTATCTGCCCTTCCATTCTAAATGAAAGCTTTGCTAGATACAGCAATCTTGGATGTAGATCCTTGCCTTACATGACTTTAAATATGTCTTTCTAGCCCCTTCTTGCCTGTTAGGTTTCTTTTGAGAAATCAGCTGATAGTCTTATGGAAACTCCTTTGTAGGGAACTGTCTCCTTTTCTCTTGCTGCTTTTAAGATTCTCTCCTTATGTTTAATCTTGGTAGTATAATTATGATGTGCCTTGGTGTGTGCTTCCTTGGGTCCAACTTCTTTGGGACTCTGAGTTTCCTGGACTTCCTGGAAGTCTGTTTCCTTTACCACATAAAGGAAGTTTTCTTTCATTATTTGTTGAAATAAGTTTTCAATTTTTTGCTTTCCTTCTTCTCCTTCTGGCACCCCTATGATTTGGATGTTTGAATGTTTAAACTTGTCCCAGAAGTTCCTAAACCTCTCCTCATTTTTTTGAATTTTTGTTTCTTCATTTTATTCTGGTTGAATGTTTATGTCTTCCTTCTGCTCCAAACTGTTGATTTGAGTACCAGTTTCCTTCCCTTTACTGTTGGTTCCTTGTTCATTTTCCTTTATTTCACCTTTCATAGCCTTCATTTTTTCCTCTATTTTGTGACCATACTCAACCATTTCTGTGGGCATCCTGATTACCAGTGTTTTGAACTCTGCATCTCATAGGTTGGCTATCTCTGCATTGCTTGGTTGTATTTTTTCTGGAGCTTTGATCTGTTCTTTTATTTGGGCTACTTTTGTGTGTGTGTGTGTCAGCACACCTGTTATGTAGTAAGGGGCAGGGCCTCAGGTGTTTGGGCAGGGCAACCCCCTTCCCTGTGTGGGGCACTGCATGTGGGGAAGGGGTCCAAGAGGGAACAGTGCCACTTGGTCAGCTCTCAGGAGGCTTTCAGTCACTTTCCCCAATATCCGCAAGCAAATTGGGTCCTTCTGGTGCTGATTCCTGGGTGGGTGGGCTTGTGTACATTCTAGAACCCTGTGGGTTCTAGACAGGGAAAGCTCTCCAGTGAGCTTTCCTATGAGGCGGACTATGAGTTTCTGCCAGTGCCTCAACACAGGATTTTTCATTTAGAGATTCTAAGGGTTTATTTTCTTCACTGGAACCCTAGGCCGTGAGGTCTGTCTTGCTCCCCCATTGTTCCTCCTGGTTTAGCCCCAAGCAAATGAGGGACCACCCACTCTGCCAGCCGCCACCTTGCTGCAAGTCCTCTCCACCCTGGCTGTCCATTTCTGCCCCTCCTGCTGGTCCTGATGAATGTTTCTTCTTTAAGTCCTTGGTTGTTGGACTTCCATACAGTTTGATTTTCTGGCAGTTCTCGTTATGTTTTGTTTTTAAATTGATTGTTATCATCCTTCTTTTGGTTGTGTGAGGAGGCTAAGTATATCAATCTACACCTCCATTTGGCTGGAAGTCTCAATATAAATTTCTTGATTCAATGGTTGGTCTTTGATTAGGTAAGAGATTTTTTTCATCTTTCAGGAACTGCAAAGCTTTAAGAAATATTTAGGAGTTTTCAACTTTCATTTGATTCAGATAGGAAAAAGGAAGAAGGAAGGGTAAGAGACTGTTGGAACTACTTTAAAATAAAAAGTTTAAAATGACAAAAGAAATCACTACCATATTTACTTTCATTCTTTGAGGCAGAGACTACTCACCTGCTTTCACTCATCTGACCCATGTCCAGGCACATAAGAGAAAACCAAGGAGTATTTGTTTGAATACCCGGTGATTTGATTTGTCTTATCTTCTTTCTCAATTGTAAGCTACTAGAGGGCTTGAACCATGTCTTGTTTCTCTGGGGGGGGGTTTGTGGGGGGAGGAGATACATACTGAATGCTTGGGGCAATCATTAAAAATCCAAGATGATGCTTCAGGAGAAAACATGAACTAGCACTAAGGCTATTTCGACCCATCCAACCAAGCTGACCGACAAGCAACTACTGCAAAACAAACTCCAACACTCTGAAAGAAGCAAACGAGGCGACCCAAAGCCAGCCAGTGCAAATAGACAGGGACACACAGATGTTACATGTACAACAGCCAGGAAACGTTGGGACTGCCCATCTAAGTTTAGGGATTAGTTTTCTTCAGTCATTCACTAGAAGTGCTTCATATGTTGCTTGTTTCATTTTTAATTGGTGATTGACTCATAAAATTTAATGTTTTATGTGTTATAATAAATCATATTAAATCCGTTTTAATGTTTAAGGTATACATTATAATCAAATATAATATAAAATGTCCAAATACATATGTCAGAAAAATATGACATGAAAAAATGTTTTCGCAAAATCC